TTTCGCGTTTATAATTAGTAAGATATAGTAGGAGTCATCTAACAAACAACACACTTATTAACGATTTCTATGAGACAACCACACACTTGTGTGGAGTCACAGATATATTGCAGGTATCTTAGATTAAGTTTTCCTCAGATAAATAAACTTATTGCTATTCTTATCAGTCCCAAACATCCTCCTTTGAGTTTGTATTGTATCTAAGATAAACTTATGTGGTCAAATAAACATATAGTATTTTATGTAACTGTATAAATTATACAATAATACTAACATTTAAAGGTAGGATAGACAATTTTATTAATATTTTCTTTACTTATTTATTTCGGATATTCATCCATATTATTTTAGTACACAACTTAGAAACTATGTTAGTACATTACTGTATACATTATATTTTTTTATATAGTTAGATATAAGTAGTATTAAAAAAAATTATATCTGTTTCTAGCATTTTTTAATTGGCAAAAAAGTTATGTAAACCCAGTGAATGTTGTGAATTTAAAAATCCAGCGAGTTCTCTGTAAATTTCATTAAAAAATTTCAACACGGGTCGGTTTCTTTTTAATGACCCGAAGGGTTTGCCGCCTCAAATATTTGTAGAAAAAAAATATACCCTTTAAAATCTGAGTAAGGAGCATACTTTATTCGGCAGTAAAACAAACGTGAATCCCTTGAACCCACCAGGGAGTTCTGAGGGAGCAATGTACCAAATAATCGTACCGTTTCACTGCTATGTAATTATATTTTTCTTCAAGGTACGGTGTTTTTATTTAAAAATTCACTGTAGGTGCGGTTTACGTAACAGTAATTTAACGGTGGCCTATCTAGTAAATCATCGCAAATATTTGCGTGGATATTTTATTTTTAATGCTACATATTTTCTGCTACCTGGTAGTTAGTTTTTAGCAGCTAGAAATGTGTCGAAGCATGAATATACACCGGAAAGTCGAGAACGTAGAATAAGTAATAGTTTTCGGAAATAAATCTATTTCTTCTTCATGTGTGTGTTTTTATTAAATTTATAGTTTTAAACAAATATTTAAATGTTTATATGGATAGCAGTATAAAAACATACAAATCATTGAGTAATCAATCGCAGTAGGATAAATGTATTATAATTTCATTCTTTTATTTTATAATGGCAGCAACTGTTTTTCCAAACCGATATGATATTAAAACCTAGAAAAGAATTTACTCCTTCAAAGGTCGGCAACGCACTTGCAAATTCCTCATGGGCGGCGGTAGTCATTTACCATCAGGTGAGCCGCAAGCTAGTTTGCCAAGCCCCTATGCTAAAAAACATATATTTTAGTAAATAAATAGTCTAATAGATTATTCCAATCCATCAAACCTAACTTTTAATTCAACTCTTACCAATTGAATAGGGCTGTGATAGACATGTTTATAGGCACCTACACTTCGTTCTGTATACGCAATTTAATTAAACTTCCAAATATTACATTATACGTAGATATGTTCTGAACAATTCAACAAAACAGATGGAAAATAATGGCAGTACCAAATGTAATGTACTCTTTAATAATCTTTTTTAACAGTGCAGTAACAGATCATCTGGCGCCAAACTAAGCATAGTTTACTAGAGAACTTATATTAAAATTCTGTCTGCCAGTCGGCCTAGGTGGTCTATTGGTTAAGCACACCATTTTACGTCCTCGATGCTCGAAATTTCGGATCCTCGCTCGCAGCAAAATTTTAATTCACGAGTATTATTACTGTTTGACAGACGTATGTATTTACAAAAAACATGTATTTAAATATTTCTATCAGTTATCTAGTAACTATAGGCTAGATGCTGCTGTGTGAATTATGAAAAGTAAAACTGAAAATTATTTTGTTGATATTCAGATAATCCATTCCTTACGGTTACTAATTTGTAGCTGACATCTAGTTCATTATACAATATGATAAAAACATAGAATTTCTTTATTTATTTATTAGAGTCACAAATACTGCTTTCAAACCCATTATTTGTATTATATATATTTACATCGAAACTACCAGTAGCACTCAAAACTAGTTATACCGCGTAGGTCAAATATTGTGCTATAATTTAATAAGCAATAAAAGTAATCTAATATAATATCTAATTTTCTTTCACTTTTGCTTATTTTCATTCGAAGCACGAACCGAGATTTTCTGGCTTTAGATAAGGCGTAACGATGCCATTCAGAATGATCGCATCCCTTGTAAATACCTAACAATTGATACCTGATCCCCGATAGCTTCGATCGTACTGAAGAGCGGTCATATCCAAGCTATGAGAAACAGTTTTTATGTTGCTAATGATACATTACATAACTTGTATCATACCTACTCATATACAAAAACACACCATATATGAATTCAGCTCAGCGTTATGTTTGGTTGTTTCTATTCTGTAGCTTTTCACATAGACTATGAGTAGGTAATGAATATTAGATACTAAACGCAACAGAAAACAAAAGAAATTAAAGTGTTAAGAATATTGTTTGTTATTTAAAACCTACAATTTGTTTACCTAAAGTTAAAAAAATGTTGCTGTTCTTGACTAAATGTGAGAAAACAAAAATAGTAATGTTAATTGTAACTACTTTAACGTAACTAACTATTAAACCGACTTTAAAATAAATAGGAGGATCGAGATGTCAGTGGTGTTTTTGATATTTATAATATACGTTATTTTAAAACTGATTTGGAATATTATTTTTAGAAGATCACATTAAAAATCATCAATATAGTTTAGTGGTTGCATTTTTTAGACGATGAATGATAATGATATTGAAACTGGAAGGTAGACCTTTAAAAGTACGTAATAATAATAACAAACCAATGTCATCTAGCCGTACTTAATTCATTACATAGTACATACGTTGTACCCTAGTGGCATGAAGATCTAAAATCAAACGTAAAAATATTAACATTCTACAGAATAAACATGTATCGTTTAGTAACTTATATATTATTATATAAAAAATATATATATTTATAAAAACAGTATTAATTTAAACCTGCTTTAAAAGTGAATTATGAATTTGATATTTTAATATGAATTTAAAACTCCATTTTGCCTTCTAAAGGAAAGCTTTTCATTTTCAATCTCCTTGATTGATTCTGACAACATTGTTATGTACAATGAGGGTTATCGGCCCTTTTCTGTCGAAATTTTCTTTACCGGTTTTGTAGATATTTTATCTATCTGTTGATGCACTTTTCGTAGTAAAAATAAATAGGTATTACAGAGTGTGCTCGTTAAATTTTTTTTATACCAATATGTACATACTCCAGAATTTTAATGTTAAACTAGACAATGTAAAGTAAGTTGGTGATTATTATTAACTTGTTGTCGTTTTACATAAAAAAAGCTTTTTGAAAACTATATTAAAGATAATAACACTTTCGTACATAGGAATTGAGATAACAAATGCATGAATGAATAATACAACTCCCTAATCTGTATAACAGACATAATGCTTTTGTAATATCTGTTTAAAATGTCACGATATTTTATTATCTATAACAATATACAGTAATATTAAAAGAAGATAATATAGTAAACAGCAAGATTCCCATTCTTTTACAACTATAAGTTACAGATACAATTTAGTCAAGCAATTGCTGCGTTATTTCTATAGAAAACTCTACGTAGAGCAAGAGACAAAAAAATCGTGAGTCTAAAGTACCTTTTTGATATTCTACTCTATATATACATATATGGTTTTGTTCCCTAGTTTTTACTTTTAGATAAGTAAAATGATAGTCTCAATATAAAAGTTAAGCTAAACCTGTAATAAATTTTGCGAAGTGCAATGTTACAAAAGCTATTTATATGGATAAAAGAGTTACACCAATCCGTTTAATATACCGATACCTATACCTATTTTGTCAGTTGTATATTTTATATTTCATTATAATTCTGAATATAATTTTATATTATAATTCTGAAGTCCATGATTATTTAATGTAAAAATTGATAAGTACCTAAATGTCTAATTGCAGCAGCGATATCCATTTATAAACATTAGGTACTTTGGTTATATTCAAGTAAACGTCATCATAAATTAACTCCTGGATATCGTCTAGTTACATATAAATGATACAACGTCATTCAATAAATGTATTCATAATTATATCTACCAAAAGATCACGAATGACTTTTTTGCTTTCTCTTATTTAAATATACGATGAAAAGAATAAAACGAATAATTCCTGGAGGAAACAAGATGAAACTTCATTATTTAATTAATAGTTAATATTTCCTTTTAATAAATAACAGTATAACCAAATGTAATATATAGAGGATAATTACTGTATTGACAAATAATTTCATTAATGTATTGAATGTCATCAATATTTAAGTATCAAATAAATATAGGCAACTAATAAAAGGATGGATGGGCACTTTAAAATATTGAATTTATCTACTACATATCTAGAATAATATGCTTCTATTATTGACGCATTTTAATATCAAACCATATTATACTTACTTGTGATTCCGTTGGTATCTACTATTATTGACGTCACTACTATTGTGTAGATATCTAATTACTCTCTTTGTCACAAATTGCCATAAAAACTATATCTGTTTATATCATATTTATATTAAAAACTGCATTCAGCTTTTGTTGACAACGTAATTTAAAAAAGAAGCTCGGACTCCTAAAGTCAAACCCTGGGTGTGTATGATTTGTAAATTTATTTTCATTACTTTTGTAATCATCTAAAATTTTCGTTAGACGTATGTCCATATACAGTATTTAAGAAAATAGTGATTTATACCTAATGTATATAGAACAACACGAAAAGAATAATAATATATTAATGTAAAATTAGACCGTACCGTGACGTAGCCACGTAAATAAATAATGAAAACAGATATGAAATCTTCACAGAAAAGTTAATTGTGGCATTTTAATTTAATTAGTTTTCGTGTTTGTGGTAAAATATTTATTGTTGGTAACTGTTCACATAGGGTCATGGTGTCAAATAGTGCTTACCATGGGTCATGATAACGCGATGTAGTGCAGCCGAATTGCGAGCGACGGCTCACGCGAGCAGACTGTTGCTCGTGGCCGGGCCAAGCCTGCGTGCGCAACCCAGAGTTTGTGATCCCCGTCACCCCTCCTGATCCACCCTGTCGGTCGCGTTCGCCGATGATACGCTGCGAAATCGCCACGCGTCTGACCTGGAGTGACATCCTCTCTTTTATTTTCACCTTAATTGTCAGACTGTCTACTAATTAACCTTTGTTTAAAACTTCACTATTATCGACGAAGACTTCGTAGTTACCTCATTCTCTCCTAGTTCACTCCGCCTCTAATCAGCTTGCAAAAGGTGTATTTCGGTTTAAAGGATGATGATCGTATATTATTGGCCATTTAAGGTAAATAAAAAGGAGGTTAATAATTTTTTATAAGTATCTAAAGACCTATTAGATAATGCCTTGCATTAGTATCATCTATAGCAGATCAGACAGAAAACTTTAGAGCACCTAAACCTGCTGACAAATTTATTGGTAGCTTAGAAACAGAGTTTCATTCACATAGTTTTTAATGATTAAAAATTCTACTATATCTTTACGACTAACATCCAAATATAATATAAATAAATATTTGAAATGTACAGCAATAATAATATTTAACAATGAGGGTATATGCATATATGTTCCAGTTTCGTCATTCACGCGGGAGTAACAATTAAACAGGGTAAGGTAACAACTAAACAGGAGTAAAAACTAATACATTACTCAAAAATTAAACTTCAAATAAACATAAGTTTCATATCAGTTATATAATCCAGATTGATAATATTAAGTATGGTATATATTTGTATCCCTGTATTCATACAGATTCACTACAATTGACTTTCTAATTAATACAATTAAACATCGATTCTAAAAATAATACTTATTTATTTTACTAAATGTCATATTTCTACATTTGAAATACAATTCTATAATTGAAGTCTCTCGACTCCAATCACCATTTTTGTAGACGTAGTCAATAATACGGAATTCGTACTGATTTAGAGGTTGGTTACATTTCTCATGTGCAATGACATACAAAAGAAGTCTTCAAAAATCATCATCAAAATATATTAAAAACTTCCATTCTAAACAATCCGTCCATTATAATCTTCCAGAAACGTTAGATACATTTTCGAACTCGTAAAAGTCTGACAAAGTATTATTAATGGCTAATAGCCATTAATAATACTTTGTCAGATTTTTACTATATTATTATTAAACTTTTATTTTAATATTATAAGGACACATAGGATCAGAAATAATAAGAACCAGGAAGTAGATGAGAATACATTCGTAATAAATAAGAATAAACAATTTTCAATACTCTACAGAAGAAATTAAAGAATAATAATTATTGTTGCTCTAATGCCTTTTACTTGTAATAGCGGTACTAAAGTGTAATCTATCGGTATCGGTAGATATTCGTACACTCATTGACTGATGGTACAGAAGTATATTTATTCATATTTATCACTGCATTCCACGCAATACGATGATAATTTTAAACTATCTTCCCGGCTGAAATTATGATATCTTCTAATTTTCATTACCTCTCGTACCATTCCTTGATAATAGTGGCTATCAGGAGAGACTACTTTAGGCGCAAACATCGCAATTCAGTGATTTGTTTACTGGATTTAATTATAGTCTTTTGTTTTTCAGAAAACTATCAAAACAGACATCGAATATCTGAAAATAGTCACTAGCTGACCCGCACAACTTTGTGTGCATCACACTTACCCACCATTTGCAATTTATATAACATAATATCTTTTTAAATTATAGCCTACATGTTATTCTGATGTATAAACTGTATTACTGTAAAGTTTCATTAGAATCCGTTCAGTAGATTTTGCATGAATGGCTAACAAACATCCATCCTTACATACTCACAACCTTTCACTTTTATAATAGAACATATATATATGTATATTAGTAAGTTACTCAACTATACATACTAACATTATCAAGGCGAAAGTGTCTATAAGTATATATCTATTTTACCTTTTCATGACTAACAGCTGATCGGATCTTAATTAAATTTGATGTGGACATACGTTGTATCCCCGTATGCGTAGCATTGCCTTCTTCTATTAAAAAAAAATAATCTTTAAATGAGTGATGAATGATTTTTGTGCAGTAATAACTAGTTTTATTATAAAGTCGAATATCATCCAGTAATAGATACTTTTCTCTGTGTTATAAACAATTTTTGGGCCATCTATTTCATTCATTTCATAATCACATGCACACAAAATGAATTACAGGACATGATAAATATTGTCGATGGTATGACCGTCGTGTACTACTTTGTGTCAAGCCTTGGATCCATTGATTGAAACAACCTACCTAAATAAATAACTTTCACATATAAGCCAAAGAAGAAATATAGCGATCTACATCATATATCAGAATATGTCATCATATATCTGGTATACGTAGATCACAATATATTTCTCAGCTATCTTTGGCCCATTTGTGAAAATTTCATTCTAATTGCTCTAGCCTCCACACACAGAAAAGCAGTCTGTTCACATTTTCCTCGTCATGATTTCACGATTTTATTATATATATGTAATGAAGATTTGGGTCTTACGGTGATCATAAAGCAAGGTAATATAACAAATTTCAACTACTTTGTTTAATAGATTCAGAAAAATAAACGGTACAGAACAGACAGACACTAAAAGGTTAATTAAAAAATAAGTAGTATATTTTGAGAAATCAGAGCATTATTCCTAAACTCCTTTCTGCTTTGGTTTCATCGTCAGCTCAGCAACATCATATGATGTCTCCCTAAGATGCAACATTGAAAATGTATAAACAAACAAAAAAAAATTGCAAAAATAAATTTAAAAAAAATTGAACTCCTCAAATAAAGAACATTAAATAAAAAATAAATACTAATAATTATTTGGAGTAATCGTAGTACTATCCTTAAATTTTTATCTTTCAATATGTGGTTATAGCTCTTTCATCAGCTCACCGACGTGCGTAATAACTCCCATACAAGAATACATACCTGACAAACTTAACTAGCAGCTTCCTACAATACTTGTAGGATTTCCCTTAGACCCTGACTTGGTGATAACGGGACTATCTCGAGAGGATACCTTCACTTTTTTCTTTTCATTGATGATGATGTCGATGAAAATATATAAAAAAACACACATGGATGGATCGAATATAAAACCTCCTCTTATATTAAGTCTGGTAAAAAAGACAGGACCGCTTGCAGACTTGATAAATTAGAGAGTAAAACATATTTAAATATCTTCATTATTGTACTTTATTGTACCTGTTTCTATACAACGTTAGACGTAAAAGGTATACCAAAGGCAAAAGTCAGGTAGAATAAACACATTTTGAAGTTTTCATAGTAAACGAACCACGTGATTGCAAAGTTCGTATGAACACAACTACAAAATTAGAAAATAATTTAGTTGGGTTTACTTGTGAGAACAATGTTTTGTGTTTCATAAATATTATTCCTATAAGGTAAATAAATTTAATACCTACAAATTATTCTGTATTTATTCAGCTAAATCTTCCTATTTATCTATCTATTTTTATTCACTATAGTCTAATTGCTTTATTTTCCTATCCGAATACGTAAATACTGTAATTATGCTATTTTAACATTTATTCATTCTATTATTTTTTATTACCTAGGTAAAGGCTTTATGCAACGCGACGTCTCGACATTACCGACTATATAGATACTTAAGATCATGATAATTCGTATTTTTTTATTAGTTTTGACAACTATTATCATTTAAGGTCATTTAAATATTGTATGTTTATTTTTATTACATAAGACTTAGAGCGAAGCATCTTATTTTACCGGCTACTTGTCAGTGAGGTCATAATAACACTATTCGTATTACGCGCCAATGACGCAGTCCGACAACCAACAAGCCATTGCTGCCAATATGGCCGATAGAAATATCCATTTTACAGATATTTAAATAAAAAATTAAGTGAGAACGGGATATATTTTAAGTTCGATATAAATTATTATTGCTTTCATATTTTTTAAGTCCATAAGGTGTTTGTATAAGTAAGTATACTTCGTTTAAAACTAATAAATTGATCAACTACTTAGCGTCCGGTCGCCTTATTTTGCCACCAGAAAGCGCCACTGTCACGACGTCACTCGTGTATCTATAGTTTCCTTCTGTTTTGAAACCCAAGCTTAGTGAAATAGTTCCTTGAGAATTATTGTAAAGGATATCAAGAAGTGTATTTATTATAGTGCGAATCTACAGATTTTCTGCGATGGAAAAGAGGGTCGCCTTGGAATCCAGAGGGAGGAATCCTTCACAGGTAAAAATGTATAATTTTCGATAGATTGGTATGTTTTGTCGATACGTATTTCGTCAGGTACCTCTGTGTAATACTTAAAATTATTATTATTGTTTTAACTATACAATATTTTATTGTTCAGAGAGCTGCCACAACTAGTATAATAAACAAATACACTTCCTAATAAGAGATTTGTACTGAAAATTGGCCATTACTGATTGTTACGTTTCATTCATGTGCACATAATTATTACACCTTTGCAGCATGTTTATTATATAAAAATCATCTCGTTTATTTAAGAGCAATTATTATTTACCAAAATATATGTATTAAACTCAAAAACATAAGTGTACAGCATTTTCATTGAAAGTAGATCTATTGAGGTTAAGTGTTGAAACATAGGTACTAGATTTACGTGGAATGTATTGATATAATAAAGTTTTTGCATATTTATCAATCAGAATCAGACCGCTTTCAAATGTGTATATCAGTAAACTGCTTTGCATATTTCCAATAGTATAATCTTATAAAATTTGAAAAATAGGGCTCATTGATTAGTCTGTCAATTGAATGTCAATAAACCTTAGAGTAAAACTAATACCAATTCTCTTTTGTTAACAATAAATAAAGACAGTTTTAAACAATAAATATAATAATTACATTTCGTATTAAATTCAAGTTTATAGTGTAAATTTCACGCAAGTACTCGGCGTAATTTCGCGCCCTTTCACCTATGCGTAACTTTAAACCAAAATATACCTAGTCCGTATACTTACTGCTTTAACTGTTTACATGTTTACTACTTGTTTTAATCATTATTATTTTAATATCATTTCGTTTACACATAACATCTGCAATCGGATATTGACGCACGCCTTACCATTACGAATACATACAGCGGCCATTTTTATTGCGTCGCGATGATTCGTGTCATCCGCCATTGCAAAATAAAAACTTTATCATTTATATCCGCAACTCTAACACGACAACTCTATTGCGTGATTTAAAAGACTTAACGAACACATGCCTTTTGTGTTTTAATGAATATTTCCACGAAATAATCACTAATTTCTTGGATAAAACTAACTGCGCCTCTACGTTTGACAGCTCGCACCATTTTGACGTTTTACTTGGTTGGCTCAATCAACTTTCAATAAATGGTCGAGACCAATTTCATTCCCTATTTATTCTTAGAGATGCCTTTTTCATATTTTACTATATTTAATCCAGTTATAAAATTATTCCATGATTTTATATTAAATTCTAACTGTGCAGTAATGCTATTTAGGGCTTATATGTACTGACATCTATATTTTTAAAAAGACTCCTCTACTGATACGACGCACAATTATCTATAGATATACTTATACATCTAGATGATAAGAGACCTATAGAAACATTTTTTCTTGATTTAAGGTAAAGGCACCCAGTTTTAGAGTTACTTATGTACTTAACTAAAAATAATTAGCCATGCACCACAGATATTAGAAAGTATGAGACATTAAATAATGTCCGCTTTTGTAGGCACACATATACACAACAATATGCCATTGTTGTATACCGGCTTATAAAGTACTTAAATCTATAATAGATAAAAGCAATATCTTACAAACAAAAATTCTTCAAAAAGTATACAATGTGAATACTAGATGGCGCTCTAGGTGTATAATTATTATGAATGTACAATATCCACTACATATTAGACGTGTATTAGACTCATAAATATGCAGTAAGACTCAATATCTACATTCTTACATATAGACCTATCCTATAAATACCTAATGTAATATGCTGTTATTAAATTAATAATTACTTTAAAATCTTAAATATAATATACTGAATTGATTTATTTTAGTAATAATACTTATTGTAATATCTAATATTAAAACTAGATGAGCACTTATACCTAACTTTTATAAAAAAAAGTGAAAAAGAAGAAAGTGTTTCTCATCAATGAAAACTTTAATGTGGCAAATACCACTTATTATTATCAGATATTATATATTATTTTATGATCAGATATATATTATAGAAATATTAGATATGATATTTTTCCTGTTTTATTATAACTTCAACATTTTTTATATAAAAATAGCATATAATATTGTATTTTCCTTATACTAAATTTTTCTAACGAGCCTAAGAAGAATGATACCACTTTAAAAAAAATTGTCTAAGAGTTACTCTTAGACAATGTATATGTGGACAATGTAACTAAATAATTATCTTGTTTTATGTTACAGCTGAAAGAACTAAATTTGGACAATTGTCGGAGCACCAACATTCTTGGACTCACAGATGAATTTGTCAATCTTGAAATTCTCAGTCTCAACAATGTCGGTCTCACAACATTAAAAGGTTTCCCATCACTCCCAAAGTTGAGGAAGTTGGAACTGTCTGATAACAGAATTTCAAATGGTCTAAATTTCCTCAATGGCTGTAAGAAGCTGACACACTTAAACTTGTCAGGCAACAAAATCAAAGATTTAGAAACTCTGAAGCCATTGGAAGAATTTGAAAATTTGAAAAATCTTGACCTTTTTAATAATGAAGTTACCTGTATTGAAGATTACAGGAGTAAGGTGTTTGCGTTACACCCATCATTAAAGTATTTAGATGGGTATGTTGAAACCACTTTTCTGTAATAATTGCTTCTCAATACATTTTCTAAAACATTACTGCTACATTATGCTGTCAATAATATTACTTGTAATAACTGATGTAATTGAAACTGATGCATTATAAACAAATCAATTTTACTTGTACTTGTACAAGGCTATGGTCACCGTTTATCATCAGGTGGGCTGTATGCTTGTTTGCCACCTACATGGTATAAAAAAAAAACTTGTATGTTGTTTACCTAAGATTAGTGAATTCTATGGTTTCTTTTCTAATACAGTGGTTTATTTGTAACTGCATTTGCAAATATGTCTTACTAAAGATAAATGAAACTTTATTATTATAGCTGTTGATTTTTATCAAATTTTAATATTGTATATTACAGATTTGATAAGGAAGACAGAGAGGCTGAAGACAGTGATGCAGAAGAAGAAGATGAAATGAATGGAAATAATGATAGTGAAGAAGATGGTAAGTATTTGTTTTATGAATATTTGAGAAATACCTCTTCCATGACTTGAAGGATGAATCACTTAGCAAAAGCTAAGTAATTCATGGAAGAGACAAGTAAAAGTAAGTATAGGGATCACATACAGGTAGACTGGTAATTATATAATGCAATAAAAGTACATTGTTGCCTATTTTTAACACACATCTTAATGCAATGAAATTTCCTTCCATTATATGGAGCCTGGTACAAAACCTGGTCTTTTGTATGGGCAAGCTGATATGCTCTCACAATTTCCGCTATGATCATATCCCCATGGTTGTCCTATTATTCCCCACTAGACATCATCATACATGAATGTGAAGGGCTACAAAATCAAATGAAAATACCTTTATTCATTTTTTTATTACACTCATGATAATTCAGATTTACTGTCTAGCTACATGTTCATTATATTGAAATTGTAATGTTGTATAAAAGCTTGTTGTCATCATAATTGTATTGCTAAGCCTTAAATGTTGCTGGTTAAACTCATTTTAAGGGGGCTCGTAACAAATTTTACCGGCTTACAGATTTGGACATAGATTTGGGTCCATTGGTGATAAATGATGATAGCATATCAGAAAGGCCAGCTGAAAGCAGAAACTCCTTACCAATGTTATTGTACACTGTATATGGTCTGCTATTCCACATGGGGTATCTTATGAAAAGTAAGCATCATTTCTTATCATTGATGCTTAATAAGAAACCAATTATTTTTGTTCTCTTATGTACAATTATGTAATAATAAAAAAAAGAATCTATTTATTATTATATACTAAATTTCAGGGTGGACTTAAAATATTAAAATCCACAGCAGTCTTGGAAAAATAATTGTTTACTTTAATTCTAGTGTACACTACACATCTTATATATTACCTAATAAACTACAGTTGTATAAATCAACTGTATACTTGCGATATGTGACTATGTACATTATTATTTCTTTTATAGGCTCTGATGTAGAGGAGGAAGAAGATGACGAGGACATCTCACTTAGTGCAGTCTATAATGAAAATCTTGGTGAGTATTAATCTGTCTGTATGAATTTCATCATAATGTATTTTGTTCTCTTTGTGGTCACAAAGCTGTAGAAGCTTTGACCCTAAACATGCATATGATTTAATACACACATTTATTTCGAGCATGTAGAAATATTTACGTTTAATTTTTATATATTTATTATTATATTATTACGTCAAATTTACAAAATAGTATCATATATTGTATGCTGAATATCAAAATAGTTTTTACTATGATGGAATGATCTCACTTGACTGAATGGTCAACAGTGGAAGATGAGGTTCATCTTTTGGTTATAAAGCTTTGTAATTGAAATAGAAAAGTAATACTATAATATTTTGATTTCATGATTGTTAAATGTCTGTCTACCCTAAAAGGAACCTACCTAAAGAATATAAATATTTTAGATTAACTATAAAAGGGGTAACTATGGCGTGTACATATACCTACATATAACCACTACTATATAGTAGTGGTTATATGTAGGTGACTATAACTTTACAAATATTTATTATATTCTAGAAGAAGAGAGCTCAGCAAGCTCATTGTATGAAGGCAGTGATGTATCTGAGGAGGAGGATGTAGATGAAGAAGATGGTGATGGTGAGAATGATGCAGACGGAGAGCACAATAATAAGGTGCAAGGTGAGAACTAACTTACTTTCATTCATTTTATATTTAAATAATACATGTTAAGAGTGGTCAAGTACCCAATGTATATTATTAGTGTGTTTAATTGCCTATACAGCGACGCCTAAGAAATTTAGCGTGTAAATATATATTAATAAGATACAATAATAGAGAACCTTCAAATAATATTCAATAAATATAGTACATAATATTTTAATTAAATATTTGCAGATGGCGAGGAAAATGCAGACGGTGTGCCTGAAGAAAGTACTCGGGGTAAAAAACGGAAACACGAGGACGACGATGAGAATTGAGAGTTGCCTTAAGCGGAGTTATCTTACTAGTTTGTAAGTGTACAGCGCTCCGATGCATCGGACAATAAACCTGGGCCTATACCACGATCACTTAAATTCAATTAAGTTCCCGTAGGATGAGTGCATGCTACAATAACTGTTAATAAGAATGGCACACTCGGAGGAATAGTGAATTTTGGAGGTCGTAGTTAGAGCCACAGATCACGATCACGGTACGTGGCAGCCATCCCCGTAGACTAGTTGTCATTTGTGAGATTGTTGCCGTAACCCTTCGAGGCTAGTCTCGTCAGCTTTCAATCTAGTGATAACACATCTTTGAAACTCGAGAGATTTTGAAATGTTTTCTATCATTAATGTTGATGTCTATTGTGTGAAATCTGTAGTTTGTTGTCCGACAAGTTAATGTTTCGATTAAATTGTTTATGTAATAATATTTTTTTATTCTATTGACATGCTTAATTTTAATCTTATCAGTGAAATGAAAGTGCATGATGTTAGGAGTAAATAAAATAGCTCTCATTTATAAATCTACTTAGCTGTAAGTGGAATGAACATGAATTAATATTCTCATGCCCATGGAATACAATATGAATTGGAAAGTGAACTCCGCCTGTTTTTCGATGACCAAATTAGACTGATAAAAACAAAATTTTATCATTACGTATGACAAAAACGTCAATTTCCTATTAGAAAATTATTTAAAAAGGATTTTACCTTTTGTACAACGTTGGATGTTTATTTAAAAAAGTACAAGTGGTGTAATTAGTATTAAAGTGGCAATCTTTATGTATGGATATGAACAAAAATAATTATATTTCATAGTATAAAACTATTGTGCTCTGATGCGTTTGATTTGCTGGTTACTATATTCACCTTACTTCACACAAAAATCTTGTCCATCTTTTTCTTTTTTAATATACAAGCACAACAGATCATTAAAGACATCTACCAATTAAATGTATTTCCATAAAACGTTTAGTTGGTAGATATTTGCTATATATAATTAGATAATCTCACTAATGATGACTCATAATAGCTAGAATAAATAACATCAATGTTTTCTACCAAAATTTCCAACGGGCGTATTACATAAAATCCGTTTATTTAGATCAAATGTTTGATGTCTCATGAGTTCAAGAGAGTATTTTTCTACAATATTTTTTAAAATAAAAGAGCGATTTATGCACTTTAAAAAATATCAATATAATGTTTGGTTGATGCATCATGGTGAATGTGCCAGATATGTTGAAAATAATTTTAGTTAATAATTTTATTATATTATGTAAGTCATTAAGTTTAAGTAATTTACAACTTGGCCTGTTGATATATATTATATAATCCTATTAAGACTTTATTTCTGGGATTGTAAAATAAAAGCTAAATATAAACTTTATAGTTTTATTCAAAAAACAATTTTTCCTACAAACTTATTGACTATTTTCATAATTTAATGCTAGTTGTATTCATGGTTGATATATTATCCAGTTATATAAGATACAAAGTTATAAAAGTAAAAGTATTGTATTTTTTAAATGAAACAGCATTTAACGCATAATTCCGACATTTCTTGATATATTGAAGAATTTAATGTAAGGTAAAACTTGATAAATTCATCCCTGTTATGACTCAAAATCAGTATGCTACAACTTACGTTTATGGGTATAGTGCTGTTTTACCAGAGTTATACAATTATTTATTAACTATTTTGCTGTTCCAGGAATTGTTGTAATAAAGAATTTTCAATTGGTATAACAAGGTTTTCACTGCCATCATATGTACGTTTAATTTTAACTAGTTTATGGTCTATAAACTCAGTCAGTTGAGCTCTCAGGGCCATATCTGAACTCACTAGAAACTGTTCTCGACATTTTGAATAGAGATCTTTGAATGGTAAACCTGAAACAATAGTACCAGTTTCTTAATATTCAATACATCTAATGGCGACGGAGGGTTTAATTTGTTTATTTGGGTAGTATTTAGTATACTTATACCACGCTGGCTTAGTACGGTATTTTATTTCAAGGTCTTGGTTGAGCGCAACGATGTCTGGTTCTTTCGTAAACGTAAACGAGCTATTTGTATAGATTGGTCTAGTCTAATTACTACAACAATTTTAAAATGAAATTATTTTATTTATTTACAATCATCTCTTATATATTACAACAACAACAAGGGTATAAGATGTCATGCTTCTGTATTTTATAACTTCACTTCCACATCTCTGCCTTTTACTCACAAAGTTATATGCTTGATGGTTGAAATACTTTAATAGGATGTGGAAGATGCAAAACTGCTCGATCCAGATAATATACACCGATTATTATGTCTCTTTTGAGGTCTTTAATAAAATTACCTTGGTAATGGGCTTGTTTCAGATTTTCCAACTGATATCCAATAATTATATTGAAAATGCCTTTAGCATTCGTCGTGAGCGACTGGTAAACGCTACGCAGAGAAGACAATTGAAGTGCGCCGCTTCTGTGCGACATTATTGAGTTCTCGTAGGACGTTTCCTCCGTGTATGGTAAGAAAGTTGTTACGTCCCACCAGGTAAACTTGAATTTGCTTAATTTCGAGTGATCCCACACTAAAATAAAAGTCAAGTTTATTAGTGCATTTAACTGACTGGTCTCAAGAAGTGCGGTCAACAAATAAAAAAAAAATATGACGTCTTTGCACTCGGTTTATTACACCCATCACGTATAAAGGGTGATTAAGTATGAATATAAAACCTTGGCCATCTAAGTATATTTTACTTTTTATTTACGTAATAATTCGAAAATCGACATTTGAAAATTATTATAACATAAGTTTGATATCATAATATGGCGTATTAATATTTAAACAACGGGGTTCTCATAGATATGTCAAATAAAATTGGAACACACCGCCTTACTTCCGATTGTAGCAGGTTCGACTCCTCGCATGATGCATTAATGGGTTTTTTACTGGTTGTTGGAACTAGATAGCCCTACGTAAATTATCCTGGGTTATTATATAAATATATTTTTAAAGAAGACGCAAGAATTGAATTGCTTACGAGAACAGTTTGGCATATTTGACACTTTAACACTGGCTGCTTATGATGATACAGGTATAAGTAGAGATAGAAGGTTTAATGTTGTGTCAACATAAAATAATATTACTTCATGTTTGTACATAACAGAGATCATTGAGTGGGATTATATTTTATCCATGTGGATGAAAAGAAGTGATATATAAATATATAGATTTCATTCAGTCCATTCAGCAGCAAGTGATGCCATAATTACACTACAATAACTCGTTTTCTTGCTGATTCAATGTCTATAAATTAGAATTACTTACATAATGGTGCATTGATATGATCAATTGTCGCAATTGTGTGTACATTTTTTATTTGCGATATATTAGACAACATGGTTTGCGCTTTAGAATTACGCAACATGGTTCCATCAATATTATGAATAATTAGGAACAAATCTGTATCATTCTCTTCAAGTTGCACACTAATTAATTTAACAATATCTCCAATATTTGACGGCACGTGAGTATTTCCTAACAGATCTATGACAATAGTCTCAAGTATATTTTTTATTGTAAGACCTGGAAAGAATCCATTAATAACAATACAAGGGAAATCTTGAAGCTTTTGTATTTGAAACTGGTGAAGTATGGAACATTTTGAACCTATACCATACAATATTATATTAAAGTTTTCACTTAGCACATAGAGCCATTTGTGAAACAGTTGTTCATAAGATTTGTTGAGTTCCATTATTTTTCTTTTGTGTTCATCTGATATTACAGTGTAGTCACCTAAACTTTCATTGAGATTTAGATTTTTCAATCTTGCTAAAGTATGGTCTGAAGTGGTGATCTGTAATATTAAACATTTCCTTTGATTATTTTCTTATATAATGTAATTATAATAATAACCCTAGACAATTCTCATACCACCATAGGGCTCAAACCTAAGCAGAGCTTGTATTATGGGTACTAGATAATAGATAAAAATATTTAAATAGACACAGACTAATACAAACAAATATTTGCATCATGCGAGGAATCAAACCAGCAAACCATGGGAGTAAAGTGGTGTACTAAACTGCTAGATCAACAGGGCTCCCAATGCAAAACACTACAATTTATCTATAAAGCATAGCACTAAATTAGGATGTAATTATGTAAGAATCATACTGATGTACTAGAAGCAATTTTATATTACATTATATAATAATTTCTATAAATTATTTAAACCAAACTAACCTTTTTACTAGAATGCATCAAAAAATAATTGTCTGGTGTAACAATATACTCAGAATCTTTGGATTTGCTTTTATTTGTCTTGTTTTTGACTATTTGTAGTTTGGTGGTGGACTTCTTGGTGTGTTCTTGTTCATCATCAGATGTATACTTTGATGATGAAGAATCTGATCGCTAAAATAAGTAATTAATTTATTCTGTACTTTATATATATAAATACAATGAATACTGCATTTATATTTAAATAACATTTCATTGTACAATTAAGAATGAAAATTATACAATTTTCATATGAAAAACATGAATAATTCTGAATGTTCTCTAAATGATGTGTAAAATTACAGTGGTACACATAGTGTCCTTTGATCTATGTCAGTAAAAAATACTTTTGTATACACCTATAATGTACTTGTAGTAATTCATGCAGTTAATTTAATTAAATGGATAATATAATTGTTTCACCCTCTGACATATACAGTTTATATATTTTTAACAGGTTAACAGGGGTATAAAACAAGTGACAATTTTTTATATGAAATGCAAACTATTCAAACTTGAGAAATATTTGAAACTAATGTAATGAAGATATGCATATACATATGGAAAAACTATAGTCATCTATTCTTAATTCTATTAGGAAATTAAATACCTCATTGTCACTTTCTTCCGGCACAAAGTCACTACTGCTGCCAGAGAAATCACTGTCACCACTATCACTATCTACTTCTTGAATTATCCCTAAAAGTTTAATAAATTAATATAAATAAAAGATACATATAGTGCTATGGTCTTCTTAATCGTTCCCTCACTGCTGAGGATCGCAACTCTATCTTATCCTGTCGACCAGCTGTCGCCATCAGTTGCGCTCAGACGCCTGGTGTATTGTGGCGCTGACAGTAATCAAGGTCAAAGACCTCAAGGTCTTTTATCCTCTATTTTTCTTGTTACCATTAGTCTCTCCATATTGTCCACACTCCTCCGTCCAATGAGTCCGAAGTATTGCGCAATTTGTTGCAGACAAGTAGAAGATAGACGACGAAGATAGTCCTATGTAATAACGTAATAAAAGACCTGGACAATTCACACAATGCTATCTAGTCTCAAGGTCAGCGAAGCTTGTGTTATTGGTATCAGACAACTTATATACATATTTTTTAAATACACATAATATAGATCGGCCATGCATTGCTGTGGCTAAGGTTAATCATATTGCAACTATAAATTCAGATGTAAGCTAAGTATCCTATCTTTTAAATTTGATCAAATTGCACACACTGTGCACATCAAATTTACAATTGGTTCATTAGTTAAGGAGTCCACCACAGACAAACAATGTGACACATAATTTTTATATATAAAGATATACATAGTAAATACCCAGACCAACACATTACTCATGAGTACAAATGTTTGTACTGTGCAAAGAATCAAACCTGTGACCATAGGAAGTAAAGAAATGTGTAAAACCGCTAGACCACATGAGACTTTCAAATACTTGTTATTTTCACTACTGTTTTCTTTTGAAAAGAAACATGAATCATTCTAGGAATTGCAAACTGTAAAAGGCATTACAATGTATATCATCTTTATGCCAATCATATAGGAGATGGTTACCATTTTCCATCAGATATATTATTAAAATTTTATTTGTCATATAATTATAATTTTAAATATATTTCAAGTTTAATTAATTTGGTTTGTTTACATATAGTCCCAAGTGAATAAAAGCCTCCTCCAACATACTCCATGATTTTAGATTAATATTAACACCATTTCAAATAAAAATTCAAGTAATTCAACACATTTATAGACTTATGTGGACAACTAATTATATGAATAACTAAACCCTTACTTTTTTTTATTAGATCCTTCACTTGTTTTGGTGTTGCATCACTATTTTTACCCAATGGACTGTTGAGAGCTCTTGTAAGAACATTTTTCTTTGGTGTTTTTGCAGAAGAGTCCACCTTCGGTGAATTACTTATAGCTGCTTTAACTTTGTTTTGCAAATCTTGCTTAGTGTGCCGAGATTTAAATTTGAATATATCTTGACCCTCCACATCATCATTACTGAATAATGCTGTAATTATTAGGATTTATTAGAGGCAAATAAATATAGAGACATATGAAACCATATTTGTGTGATAGGATAAACACCAGATACACTGTAATAAGTAAAAATACAAAGTATGTGAATAACAATAACTATATATGTAACCATTAACAATATAAATAATGTATAATTAACATAGGGTGTGTGTATAGTTTGCTTAAGTAGCAAACCACTAATTTTCTGGTCCATTTTAATTTTATCATAGGGAAATAAGAGAACTTGTATGGCGATAAAAAATATAGGAAAAATTCCTATTGTTAATAGGAATTTAATAACTACATGATTAAGGATCACCAATCAAATGTTGCATACTTGTGATTTTTATTATTCTATGGCATTACCACCACAATCTGAATTATGTATAAAATATACATTTTAATCATTGGTATTTGCTGACCTGAACAATTTATACAAATAATAATGATTACTACTAATTTATAATCTTGATTAGCTAACCTGTTGGTTTCTGTAAACAAGATCCTTCTTCTAATTCTTCAATCTCTTCATCTGAACTCGAAATATTCATCAAAATCCTACGCTTTGTAGGCGACAAGTCCAAAAAATCTCCATATTTCTTTGGTTTCGTCCTATTTCTAAGACCTCTCCTACTTGGAGGATTCATATTTTCATCTGTGTTGTCTGCAAAATAGTTAAAATGCGAGGTTTTGTTGAAAAATCCCTAACAGTATGACCTTCTAGCCTAAATAAATTAAAAGGTTTGTGCTTGTAGATAAAATTATTTCCAACAGAATGTGTAAATTAAATGTCACAAAAAAAGATAATGGTGATCGTAATTTTATGGGTAAAAGTTTATTTAATCATATTATAATAAAAATCGTGTAGTTGCGAAAATAATACATTTTCACACTCACCAGCTGTAGGCTTTCCAGAAGTAGAAAAACGAAGTTGTAAGCTCTGGCTCATGTTTTTGTAAATTATACTTGAATCATTAGCTCAGTGTTATTTTATTAGGTTTAATATTTATGTGACGTTTTGATCCTAAAAGTAAATAATATTATCTAATAGTTGTAATAAACTTAATAAAGACTCGACAAACAAAATTCAAACCTAAATACTTTTTTCTTAATTTTACTTTAATAATTATTTTTATGTCTCTGGATGCTAGGCTGAGTTGCCAACCTTTAAACTTTTTATTTCGTACAACGAAGTCAAAAAAACTGTTCTACGTAAGGTAAAGTTGTAAAGGAGAGGAAGTATCTCACAAATAGCGATAAATTAAAGTTGCTCTACACTAAATTTTAAACGATACTTCAAATATACGACAATCAAGTAAACCAGGATAGTAGCCTTATTTATATACATTTTCTTATACATCAATTGTAAATAAATGTAATGTCGTTAATCGTGTGATATTTATCTCTAAAAAGTCTTCAATTTTAAGAGTAAAATTTATTAAGAATTCTCTATTTAATGAGATAAAACTATATAAGTACAAATAATTTAAAGGAAGTAGGACTAGAACTACTTGCTAATAATAACAGAACTTTTTAACTATTGTGTATAGTTCTGTCCACTATCAACTCTTAAATTCATATTATATTTTTTGCTACTCTTGCAGCGTTCCAAAGGAAATTGAAAATATTTGTTTACCGCTTACAGTTGTCGAAGATATTATTAATTGGCATAAGCCTATTTATTTATTTAGTTCAAGTCAATACGGGGACGATTACCATCGGTTTACACTCCATCGGGTGGCCTATCAGCTTATTGGCCATTCGTTACTTGCAACTGTTTCAAGCCTTTCAACAACTTTTTCCCATAAAAGTGGTATCTTTTAGAGAAATTAATGATTATGTAGGCTAGTTTGCATAATATAATCGTCAATTTCTCTATAGTGCATTTTAATGAGATTACCATTTTGTTCGCTTTTAAAAAGTGACATGTGGCACCTGTAATGATATCTGAAGAAAAGCAATATCGACCAGGAAAGATTTTTTTTCATAAAATGTATTATTTTACATTACATATACAGGTGCGATTCAACGCAGATGCAAAAGTTTGCATAGCTTGAGATAGATTAACATGATGTTGTGTGGCAGTTTGTAGGATAAGTTTTCTACTAATGATAACTAATATTACATAATATATATAAATAAATAATATATATATATATATATATATATATATATATATATATATATATAATAATATAATATATTAAATAATATTGATATGGGGTAGTTCATGAAGAGACAAAGTAAATTAGAAACATTAATTACATCACTTCGTTTATTTGCTCAACTTACTGACAATTTTTGAAAAATCACAGTTATTTTTGACAATCGTTTTGTATCTATTATGACAATAACAGCTGTCAGCTATTTAAATGGGTAATGGGTACAAAATTTTATTTATTAAACATTTAATAATTATTGGCCACAGTACACTTTATTCAATATTATGTAGTTATTACATATCTTTAATTAATACATGGATAGTAAAATATTTAATTTAATAGCATCGAATGAAGAAATACAAAGTAAGAAAATAATTAAAAAATTCATTGACATTCAAGTAGATTGACAATAGAAAAGATTTTGTATAATATTTTAAAATGTAAACTTATTTTTCAAGTGAGCAATAATGAACGGCGAATCATGATGTCGTGTTGACAATGCAATGTACAATCAACGAAGCGAAACCAACGACAACATAGTGTTTAAATTTAATTAAATCGGCTATTTACATATGAAAACAAAACAAAGCATGTGTTTAACCTATGGAAATTAAAAAAAAAAATGATCACAATATGCCATTGGAATAACATCCTAGATTACTTTAAAAAATTAATGGTGTCGTCTGTGATACCACTTATGATTTAGTACTTAGAAATATTTTAATGGTGGGATCGTAGCTCATCTATATACAATACCAACAAGTTCAAATAGACTTATTACAATCACTCGAGTCACCTACAACTTCTAAATGTAACATGGCTTGGACAAACTGCTCCCAAATGCAATCAATACAGTTATGCATGTGGCCATTTGGCAATAATTTGTACAAAACTATGTTACATACAATACACAGATTTATTGCATTCACTTACTGTAACTACTCTGAAATATGTTCAAAAGTGCTACCTTTATACCTCTAACGAGAATCATTCAAATAAACCAATCAACTTCTATGGTAATGAGAAACACCAATAATTTAAATATAAACATTGCACTCTGGCATACAATGACTTTAAATAAACAATTTTTACCATCACATTAATTTTATGACTTATATCATTACATTAGCCAATTTTTAGCAATCATTTACATAATTGCATGACATGGATAACTGTTTGTAGATGTAGACCTGAGCTTCATATATAATACATAGTAATAATTTACATTAAACGTAACTGCAAGAGAATGTCCACAAAAACGACATACATAAAATATTTTACTCCAAGCCTATCTTCGAAAACTACATCAACGCGCAAAAAGCGTCCAGCGTATTTCATCTTTACAATAAATGCGGCACATTAAACGACCGCGAGAGACAAAATAAAAACATTAGGATCGAATATCGTCTTGAGATCAATCATAGTAAACGAAAGGGTGAATCCGCGGATCCACAACTAATTATACGAACACACCCACCGGCCACTCTCACTCCGAATCTCACTGATTATGGTACACGTAAACTCTAACAATAATATTACAGATTGCAGCCTTGTCGTAGAATAGAATAATATACGGGCGTAGGTGAGGGGAGTAACGCGCAGTAGGTCAGCCGGCGTAGAATTCGAATATGTGTGTGCCGCGTGGCGTGTCTTTGGTATAGACACAGAGGATAACAATTGTATATACAGAACGAAAGCCTTTCAACCAGTGTTTTATTCTAATAAGTTTTGTCCATTGCAGGGAAACACGATAATATTCATGAATGCTATGGATATCATTGATTAAATCCTGGAGTGGTAATTCACAATATTATTAATGTTTCCATTTAACAAATAAAACTTTTCATATTAAACTAATGTTAAAGCTTACTCTCTGTATATCATAAACATAGGTGGAGAGCTAAATAACTCAAATTTTGTCATTTCCACATAGTCGCGATTTATTGTGTTTTTTCTTCATTTATTTGTCACGTTGTTATTGGGAATAATGTACTTGATAACTTATCAGCATCGAAACTACCTTCTGGTAATTAATTACAACAAATAAAAAGAGTAAAAATAGTAAATCGCGAATGCCACAGGATTTGAGTTATTGATATCTCTACCGACGCTGATAATCTATGTAGTCCTCTGTGGTATAGAGGCGGGTAGCATGCGTCTCGCCGGAACACTAGGCCTGTTTAACGCGTTTGCGCGGCGGCCCGATTGGCGGGATTTGCTGCTGTTGCGTGGCGAGCGCGCGGAACGCCTCCGCGATGAGATGCGGATGCGACGAGATCATATTCTTCCAGCCCGCCGTATCCATTACGTCCGTCGCGTGACTCCTGGAAAATAAATAGTGCACACTCAGTGATATTGTCAAAAAAATAATCATTACATGTTTGTAATTGTAAATAAAAGCAAATCTGGGATCTTCATATATGTAATTGAAATAAAATAAAGCTGGTGTTTAATTGTTTTATATAGGTTGGGTTTTCATATTTTTTTTTGGTGTTTGGGCTATTGTCAGGAGCTTGGATCTGTAGCACTGCGATCTATATACATGATGTATTGTGCTCAGCCTTTTTCATAGTTCGCTAGTTAGACACGTCAGGGACAAGAATTGAAAGATATTCTTAGAACCTATTGCTTTTATCTCCTCAAATTAAAAGTGTAAACTATCCAAAGCAGATATTTAGGCGTTTCCTCTTAAGCTTAGCAAAATCTGCAGATTTTTGTTGTGCACAGGCCTGGGTTTCTCATATATTTCATTGATGCAAAATACTATAAAATATGATCTAAACCTAAATGTTTGTACAGACAATAAGGAAATTGAGTATTAGTCTTTTCCAGTTGCAATATAATTGGATTATGAGGACAATAGCTAGTTGTACATAATTACAGTTGTTCGATAGAAGGATGTAACTGTCATCTATATGAGTAGGTACGGCAATGCAAGGTGAAACGCAGTACTGCTTAAGTACGTGAGATATATATAGATAGTGTTCTAATATTTATTTTATTTTGGGAAATAAAAGGTTATTTACAAGTAAATTCACATAGGCAGTCTTGTTGTCATTTTATATATAATTGTTGATATTTTTATATTTATATAATTGTTACTTACGTATTAATAAAGTCAATAGTCTGTGCTTTGAGCTGATCTGCTGAGTGAAGGTCTGCTAATATGAGCGTATCTGCCGCCGTCTCGACCGACAGACTCAAGCAAAGTGCTTCCTCACACATTACTTTTAACCTATCTAGCGCGTACTGAAATAAAAAAAGTTAGCTGATTAGACTCACTTTGACGAGAAGAATATAATAAAGTGTTTCTCTGCCAATTTGTATAATATTATGTGGTGGAAAGGCCGAATCAATTAATTTATTATACGAATTATATACATTAGAAAGTAAATTTATTTGGTTCACTTTCACGCCTTAACACACGTTTATTAACTTATCGTAGTTGGTATCAACACATACGATTACACGACGAATCTGTTTTTCTGGATTGTTTCGTATCAAGAATAAATATTTAAAGGAACGCCCCGTTCCACTGAATTCGAATATATAGATGATACAATATTTTAAGAGTGTGAGATGTCGTGAAATAGACATATGTCGATGAAAATAGAATAAAAGCTAAGTAATAAGCAATAAAAATCTGCTGGCTTGTAAAAGTAGAGATGAATATAAGAAAACGGAAGGAATTAATTTAGAATCTCAGTTTTTCGATTTCTATTTTACGGATTCATTCTACAAAATAGTATTAATTTGAAGACATATATACACACCTTATCCGCTGCAGCTAGTAAGTCATCAGCCATTTTGTCGAGGTTAGGCGCGCGGCCAGTGTAAATAAAGCGCAGCATCTCCCGTAATACTTCATGGTCCACGTCAGTAATGTCCACCCTATTGCGTTTACGCTCCTCCATTTCGTGTTCAAACATGGCCGCAAAAACAGGACTCCGCGCTGAAATTTAAAAACATAAGGATAATGAATATTTATTTTTTTTTTAAATAGAAAAATAATATTAGATCCTTACGATAAAATAACAAGGTTAGATCACTTGTGACACAAAACATTAATAATTGTAGTATATATGTAAGACTGCAGTGTCTACAACAACGATACATCATAGTATTTAGTAAAATAATTATTGGATTCTATTCAATTATTAAAAAAGCATTTGTTAATGTTTATTAATGCCTCCATACATAATTCATGCACATATCTCCATTTTTATATTATTTTATTATTTTTTTATTGGATTACATTTCTTTTTACATTCAATGTAATCCAATAAAAAAAAGTACCTATAGAAATAGAAGCAGATAAAATAAAGAGATAAAAGTCATGCACACAGTTTCTTTTGCTTTTACTTTTGTAACGAAATTGTGTTAACAATCCTATATTCAGCCGATAATATTGACGTGGGTATGGCACGCGAAAATAGTTTTTGAACTAAAACAGAAACATTCTGACCTCTGTCAGAACGCACTCTCCGCATACATATTGTATAAAGAAAGATACCAGTATTGTAATTATACCCTTTACGACTGACAATACATTCAGATTGTAGAAAAAGACTTCTTCAAATGGAAATATCCACACAGCGCTGCTGCTTCATTGCGTATTTTTTAATTATATTTATTAGTGACTGTAAGCGTAGATATGTATGCCTAACTATTCTATAGAAGTACAATGCTTCTAAAGTTAAGGTTTAAACGGTACTACAACTCGCGATTGATAGGACACAAGTCATTGGAATGTAGCTCTTGCAATATATACGATGATGTTAGTAACGTAAGTACAAAAAGTGGATAGAATCGGTCGACATAGAACTACTACAAACTATGCTGACCATTGCTAAGAGGACTCGTTGTAACGCGTATTGCCAAGTAGTATGATATGTCAGAAATGCAAGCTGTGCAGAACTCTAATCATTGAGTTTTTATAGTCATTACAAGATGTAAAAGAAAATCTGTGCTATTCTTATTGAAAACAAGAAGGTTCCTTATTATTAGTCTTTCTTGTAGCATGCACCATTCAATTTCCATTTACTTATTTTTTTATATTAATATTAGATATGTATATTACATATGTGCGTATAATAATAGATATGTACTTATATAGAAGGTAACTATCTTAAAATCTGATTTTATAATTTATGAAATGACTTCATATTAAAGTATTACATTTGAGGCGATGACATGTTTAAAGAGGAAACAGAGTAGATATATTTTATCTTTCAAGCCAATAAGATAAAGTATCAATTTTATCTCAATATACTAAATACTTATATTATATGAAGACAGTTATTAAAAGTATCTTTTATTATAGGTAAAGTTATATACTACATTGTATATTACATCACATATATGTATGGAACTATAGAAATAAAGGAATTTCTATAGTTCCAGCCAAAAGTACGTACTTTTACGTAAAAAGAAAAGATTGGTGATAAGTTAGATTCTGTGGTTTCTGAGTGTTGCCACTGTAAAGCTGTATACTATTTACTAATGCACCAAGTTATTTACGTCTCTAACACATTATCACATATATAATTTTTTACTCATATAATACATAGTTCAGCTACTTCTAGTACTAAATATGTTGAATGTTTGTGTACATATTACCTATATAACATGAAGAAATCCAAATATCGTCAACGAATATAACTTATTAATACGGTTTATATGGCTTGATAATAAATGGTGGGTTAGTATATAATTTACACATAAACAATAGGTACTCATCTATGCAAGTACCTCCTTTGTTTAAACAACATAGGTATTAAACGACCATTATAAGAGTTATTTTATATTTTCCTGTCCTATAATGATTATGATTATAATATTAATACCAATATCCGTCGAAAATTACAGTAACAATTACAGTTCATGTGTCAGTCATATTTTTATTAATTGTTATATGAGAAACATACCTAACCACTAAACACCTACCTACTCTTAAGCCTTCAAGACGTTGATATAGACTAAGACTTATTTAGTTTAGAAATATCACAAAAGAGGTATGTTGTTATATTGACTGATTAAGACACTGTCACGTTTGCTACAATGTGAGAATGACTTAAATAAATATGCAGAGAAATAAATATCTACCTGCTAAGATAGCTTTATGCGCCTGGAATTCCCTCCCTCCGACCGCTAGTGTGACGTCCGAAAACCTTTCATTGTCGAAGAGAGCTCCTAAGTCATCAGAGAGTCTGCATTCTGGTACTTTAAACTGCATTACATTGCTCTGTCCGCTAATATTGATGCTGTCCGCGACTACTGATACTTCGCAGAATATAGTTAACTTGTCTTCGGGAAGGAGGCCGTTTGCTTCGTCTAATAGGAAATCTCTGGAAAACCAAAAAAATAATGATGTAATTTGGGTAATATAACTAGTATTATAAAAAAAATACTAGGACTTTTCCTGACTTTAAAAGTTAATTTACCTATAGAAAACTATATTATAGGTTAGGAATACGCATTGCATTTTTAAATTTAGAGATCCCTATAAAAATTATTGTTGCAAAGTTGGAGCTAGTTGACTACCTAATATTTTACTATTTTAGTATATGGTTATAAATTTTGTCTGTCTTTCAAACTAAATAGGTTTTCAACAAATTTTTTGGCTATTTATTGTAGTTACAAGTATATTTAATGTAATCATAATGACATTTTATTAAAAATATAAGTCATCTTTATATCACTATATGCAACAGGAAAAATATAGGCAACATTATTATACTATAAAGTCGTATAGGGATATACATGTAATATAAAATATGATAAACTAATACAATAGTCTGAAAACCCATTTCCATATTCCATTATTTGGGTTAAATATATTCTAGTAAACGATAATGATGTGAGCGCGTATCACAAGATACTATATACTGTTTTCAATATATGAAGTGCGATGTACCTAAAACCTACTTTACTTAATGTAAGACCGTGCCGCGCACCTTGAGCCATTAAGAGACATCCAATTATTGGTATCACGTATTTTTATTATGTAACATATAACCCTTGTCTAACCGTCGGAGCGGAATGTTTTCGTATGTTTGTATTATATGTATATGTAACTAATATAACATAATTTCTTGTTCAGTTCAATTTGATCATTTTTTTCACGTAACACTTTATGAATAATGAAATATTTCTTTTGTATTAACATTAATAAAACATATACAAAATTAATCTAAATTTTGTGCTGCACTATAAGGTTTTTTGTATGGATCCAAAAGTATAGGCTAATAGGGTCGCTGGCCGTAATCATTAAACTTTAAAAACACGATAAAAAACTGTTTTCGCATTATCGAAATATTTAGAGATCATTCCAATAATCTTTATGAAGATAGAAATCGTTATGTTCCCAAACCGATACATGTCACAAGCGATCGTGGGACGCAATTATTCGGTTAATGATAAGAAAACTACGTGCCTAACTAGTGTTGTATAAAGCTGGAGCACGGTTTATCCGATTCTTACAGGAACTGTGAGGTTCCTGTAAGAATCGGATAAACCGTGCCGACAACGTCATTCGATTGATGTTCTGTTTGCCACACCCCGCCCTCTTTGGAAATACGCCAATCGAACGGCGTGGCCGGCACGGTTCGTCCGAACCGAACGTAATAATTTGAACTTAGTCTAACGGTATTTAGTGAAGTCTTGCTTATTTCTTCCCTGAAGTACTGGACACTGAGTGCGGTATTTAAATTCACAATGCGGAAACCCCAGTGCTAGGACAATCACAGGAGACATAACAGAGCGATCACAGTACTTAGGTCTAAGTGATAATGTTAGGGAGTGTCATTGATATCATAGTAGCAATAAAAATATGTCCATAGTCTAGTTCATGCCCAAGCGACACTTGCCACCTTGATATATCAAGTATCGGGTGGGACGTCAGCTTGTTTGTCATTTCATGTGGAATAAAAATAAACTGATTACTATTCACAGCGCAATAAGTTGTATAATCGAATCAACTTTAGACACTCGATAACAAATGTTTGTAATATGTTGAATTGTTATTGTTACTCATTTTCATTTTTTAAACTACATATTTATATTCATACAGGATAATTTTATTTGTTATAGTATTAGGTATAAGATCGTATAATTATCTTTAGAAAAATCGTAGTCGTAGGGACCTTGACGATTATCAACGAAATATCTGTAAAATACTCGATATTAAACATTGCTAATAAGTAATGAATATTATGTTTTAAGGTATCACAATTTAAATTTTATATAATGCTAACATAATAACCGTTTTATGCATAGAAAGTAGTTAAAAAGTGGTTGACTATAACGATTTATGCATGGAAAGTGGACTTGTGTGTATCGCCACCAATCTGTTTCAAATAAGGCGCTATGCGCTAGGCGCTAGTCTAGTGTATCCTATGTAATCGTTAACTTTGGAAGTACCTAAAGATTAATATTAGTTAGTAGTTTACAACAAATTAATAACTTTTAATGCCTAGATAAAAAAAACTGCTTTACATATATTATTTCCTATATCTTTATATTCTAATCTATTACGAACTGACGTAGATATTCTCTCAAAATAAATATCTATCCTACATTTTAAATATTAACAGCGCGAAAAAACACTATTTGAAGACATTTTACAGACATACTTTTGAAGTCGCAAACAATAGTGCACCAACTAGTGATGCTATGCAAATAAGTCCCAGTCACAGTACTCTTTCGAAGAGGACATATAATATGACTTTGACACACTACGAACATACACAATCAACATACCGTTTACCATCAAATGGGTGGCTTGTTTACCACTTTGGTAAACAAGCATACGGTCCAGGTTGAGCCGTATGCTTGTAACATCATAGTGGTACAAAAACATGATCGAAGCTTAAATATACAGGCATTATATTCATTACTGTATTTGAAGTTATTCTTGGCACTGACTTTATTATCATAATACACTATATAAATTTCCATATAAATCAAGGGTTAATGACAAATTCGCAGTGGGTTATACGACTGTCATACAATGAATCATTATAACATTATCTGATTGGTAAAATGGATATATAGGCGCACCACATACATATTCATACCACATGTAGATCGAACTACATTGTGAATCATCAATTTTTGGCAACAGGGTTTTCTACCATAATGAGAAACTCCTTAGTAGTAGTCTGTGATTAAGTGATTTTACAACGTTTTTTTATTTGACAGAATGATTGACAATATGGACAAAATATATATCATATATTTTATAAATAACTTGCTATCATAATAAGCTATCAGCAAAGATAATCAGCAACCTGGATCCAAGTTTATTAATTCTTACCATAATTATTACTTACAATATTTTCTATGATTACAACTAGGCTAAACTACTGAAGTGAATTGAATAAAATTGAACAGTAATATAGCCGAATTTAAGTTGGAAGGTGGAGTGTGGAGTACGCAACTTTATGACAAATAACACGTAAATGAAGTGTATATTGTATGTATATATAAACATAAAACATAAAATAATATATCTATAAATATAGTACAATTTGTAAATATATTTGGATGTTTACATATTTGCTATCAATTACGTTTAAACGGCTAAATGTGAATGAAAATTTTATTTAGAGAAATACTACTATATTACATACGACTTTTTATTGTACAATACTTTTGTCTTATGTAGAAAAGAATAGAAAATATTAAAATGTAAAATTGGTGTGTTTTGAATTGAAGAATGACTTTTTTCGTTTGGTACATTAACTACATTAATAAATAAAGGAAACAAAAGACATTGTAATTCCACACACGAAATTAAGGATTATATTTGCCCACGCCCCATACAACATTTGTATGTATAAACTGTTCGATTCCAGTTCGAAACAAGAAGGATCAATATGCCTTAGACGTTGATAAAAAAAATTATGGATCACTCACCTTCTTATGAATTTTTTGAATCCCCAATCCTTGCCTTGTACGAATCTGTATGCACGCTGTGACTCCATTGCCTTGGTTTCTTCCCGTTTAGCATTCAGTATTGAAAATTTAAACTTTGCGCGCACTTCTGATTTATTACACGACACTAATAATAAATATAATGATAAATAGTCTTTGCTCTCTTCATCGAGTCCTTTTGGATTAACACGGAGACACCATTTTAACTTATCACTAGCACCGGCTGAGAAAGTCGATGATTTTAACACTTCACCCATCTCTTCTCTACAAAAACTAAAATTGTTTATTGTCCACATATAACTGAATTTCACCACTTTGACCTGAAACAAAAAAATAAAAACAATTAAGAAAAATAAACATTATGTAAATAAAAGGATTAATTCCATAACTGGGTGATGTCGCCCAAAAGGTGTGGTTTATGGCCGGCAAATAATACGAGCAGAATATAATCATAATTACAAATATAAAAAACAGAGTTACTCATAATTTCAGTAATCAACAGTTGTGTGTGTGGTATATGACAGCAGTTAAAAAAAATCTACTAAGTGTAATTTTAAGGGATCAAATTACACAATGTAAATGTTATCGTTTTGGAATTCTTTACGGTGTTTTTACAATATTACACAAAGACAAGCAACGGTAGATTAGGTCAAGCGTCTTCGATCAGTTTCTTTTTATGTTCAACAATAAATCTTAGAGACAGAGCCCCCAAACTATTCACAATTCAAATTGCTACGAGCCCTTTGTGTTTTGTGTCTAATTACCACGCTGACAGGCGCCTGGTAAAATAAACGGTCGCTTTGGGTACGCGCTAACGACTTATTTATGCCAAATAAAATTTTTGTAAACAAAGCTTACAACACAAGGTTAGGATGACTTCCCTATACACCTTTGGTTTTACTCGTATTTCATCGTGACAACCTGAAAATATGTTTTACCTATTACATATATGTTGGTAACCTAGTCTTTTTCTTAATATTTATAGCATTATTTGTTGACTGCGGAATAAGAATACAATGTGACATAACAGCTTTTCATATTCAGTACTTATGTCGTAACTTTTTAATAACGGAAATAATTTCCAAATACCGGGCAAGAAGAAAATACAGAGAATAAGAAGAGTACTGTGCCCAGCACTGGAAAGATAATATATTACGATTATGAAATAGCCCTATTATACTTTAAAGTACAAAAGTTTAGGAAGTTTAAAAAGTGGAAGTGATGTAAGTTCAGCAGTTATTTGGTACTTAGTTTTTCAGTCATTTCGACAAATCTGGCCGAAAATTAGATACTAATTACGTTTTTTCCTATTTATATTATTTTAATTTAATATAAAGACAATATCTTAAAAAATTTAGACTAAAATCTAGATTTAATACGTTGGTACTTCAGACGTTGTAACATGTAAAATTGTGCAAATGTTACGTGGACTGGGGCCCAACCGAATTGTCAGGGTGGACGATTGACCAGCGGCGAAGGTCAGGGGGACTAGTAAAGAGACGTCGTCGCAGGCGCAGCCTGGGCGCTGCTGGTCGTTGCCCCCGACCGTTGCTTGGCTTGCGGGCTTGCGGTGCTGCTGGGGTCTTCGCCCGGTCGCCGACCCGTGCCAAGGCCGCCCGCATCATCCCCACGCGGAGTCAGATAACATCCGTTTGCAGATTCCAATGCGTCCTCACGGCCATATACACCGCTCTAACGCGATTTATCGTCATATTACAAATTCTCAATTGGAGAAGTAGGCTCTTATTTGCTTGTTATAAAAGCAGCAAGAATCACTTGAATAAGTTTTTAGGGCTCGAGGTAAACGGGATAAAAGAAGTCTTAGGCGAATTCCGTCGTATTATGGTGGGAAAATACCCTCAGTCTCTGAGTATTATATTTCAACTGTCAATGTTAATAACATTTAAAATTCCGTATAATTGCAGATATTGTTGAATTGTTGACCCAACTTTATTTCTAGAAAAAAAACACAAAGGGTTTTGTGTAAGCATATATATATTTCTTTAAAGATTTGATTTTATTCTTGAACTCATATATAATATAATAAATGACACATACACTATTTCTTTGGCAGATTAATCTACGTTGACGTATATCAGCAAACATAAATTTAGTAGTTTCATTTAAAACGCTATTAATAATATAGTAGCTATTTTTTAATGCCCCGGCTTTGCCCGGGTGTATATATATTATACATATAAACCTTCCTCTAGAATCACTCTATCTATTAAAAAAACTTCAAAATCCGTTGAGTAGTTTTAAAGATTTAAGCATACATTAGGACGGACAGACAGCGACCGCGACTTTGTTTTATAATATGTAATGAAGGCTTGGTCTTCATTACATATTATAAAACAAATCTGGCAATAAACAAAACTATTATTTATTTGTTTTTTTATAATAATATATATTTGCAATAAGTACCTGGTGAGCTCGAAACTATAAAAATGGAAGTATTTATTTACTCTATCTCTACCATATTTAGTATAAAAGCACTTCCAATTAATTCTATTAAGACTAGTTGTAAATGGATTTGTACAGTATTAATTAAAGCAATAACAAGTATAGTTTACTGTCACCGCGTTTCTAAGTAATGAAAAGAATGGTTATCGCATGGCACGTGTATTGGAAGAGAGGCGTTGCCTGACCACACGTGTCGAGGTTCAAACATAACACAGCTTTGATCTAATAATTTTCGCATTAATTTAAGGAGGTAAGGTCGATAGTTAAACATAGATTTAAGAATTCATTCCGTTAGTAACGGTCTTTGTAAGATCATCAACTTGCCGAAATAGAAAAACTTCGAGCAGAGACCTTAATAAATATACGTGCTATAGCTGGGTCGTGCAACAAGTAAAAATACCGTTACCGTCCGTGAACTAAATAGAATTTTCGGCAAAAAGCATCAAAAAAGGTAATACCAGGTCGGTGGCTAAGTCGACCAACGGTCGTTCCGATTGTTCTGAACGATGACCAGACAACCGGCCAATCTATCAGTACATAACGTTATTGAAACTGTTAATATAACACATTATTTTAACAGGTCAATGATTGTACCTTTTCACATCACATTAACTGTTAATAAAATTATTACAAGAAAAAATGTTAGAGTTTTTTAAAAATATGATCTTATGAATTTTGTTCTGAATTATTGTATAGTTGAATATGACCACGTACGTACATACATGTTATGTAACCGATTCACATGATAACGACCAACAGAAGAGATGAGTTATAGGTTAGTTGTTATTAAAATCGCACGTTTCTTTGACGCAGAAACGTGTAGACCGTCGTCGTCTTCCGATGACCGCATACCACAATTACATGTATAGTTAGCTCGGCAACGTGACGCATCAGTCACCTCCACACTTTGAGTATTAGGCGTGTTCGCGTGTTATGTAGATATGTAAGTACATCAAACATAAATGTAAATATACCCAGTTTATACTTCCTTGTTCATTAAATACATTAACACAATCTGCGTACGCGTAACATTTCAAGTTCACCGATAACGGCCCTTATCGCCAAGCAGTAGCTCCACATCAGACGAGTCGTATTTTATTTACGACATCGGTCGGCCATGGAGTTGAGCTTTACGACCACTTATTTGATGTACCCGATGGGAGTCCACCGATACTTCGATATTTTCGAGGTCGATAATATAAATAAAATTTGTATTAATTGTCATATTTGGTATTTTGTTAATGAGCGGTCATCAGCAGTAGCAATCAGGATAGATAACTTAAATAAAATGTATATCTATTTATTAAAAAAATAATTACATAATAAATAAAAATTTTCATAAACATCTATAAAAAAATTGATCATATCACCTATTTAAAGTAATGTCGTTCAGAACTTGGCTTAATACTTATTGCAGCTGGATTTATTATAAAGTGAGAGTACGAATTTTGTAAGTTTGATATAAGAGACCATATGGTCCCTAGGCCCACTGATACAAATCATCCTTGTATCATACCTGTGTGAAGCACCAGTTTTCTGCGACGGGGGTGTTCCCGTCGTGTAACGGGCTGGGCACGCGGCTCACCGCCATCCCGCCGGCGCCGTTTGAGGACACGCGCGCCGACTGTGGAGCGGGCGCGCCGCCGCCCGACCCTCCACCGCCGCACTCGCTGCCCGACCCGAGCCTGCAACAACGATACCAACGATTATAAGTTGCAAGCTCATATAGTTTTCAACCAAATTGGCCATGAAAATTTGTTTTTAGGTATTAGATTATATCTATGATCAGTCTTCCTTAATTCAGCCGCTCTGCAGCTTGGTTTGTGAGATGTATTTCGGTTGAAGAGTGAGATAAGGCCAACCGAAACACAATTTCACTAAATTACAGGATACGAAAGCAACATTTGTTTCTTCTTTGAAATGACAATGCCAAAGCATGTTTGCTACTAGAGGCACCTGTTGTATTGTTTGTGTATCGACATATATACAAGCAGTGCCATGGTTGCCACTTAGCATCAGGTGGGTTTCATTGTCATTCCAGATACAGAAAAAAAAATTTAAAAGACGTAACTGGAAATAAGGACTAAATAGCAGTGCCGAAGGAATTTCATGGCCAACAGCGGCAGTAGGCTAAAATATCTTCGTCGCTACTTACGAAAATTTATAATGACATCGAGTATGTTCTATGTATTTTTATTAAATCACCTATATACGACTGAACGGATTAGAATAAATTTCGTATACAGGAAAATTATTATATATTTGAGTACCTCAAATGCAATACAACTACAAAATAACTGCATGGAAATAGTTAGACTAAACTGCTTTAATATGTTATTGTACATAATAAAATGGCAACAATTACTTTTTGAATGTTATAACATAACAGTTATTACATGCAAACTGGTAATGTCAATGTTAACGTTATTTTATATTTTATATTAAAAATTAAACTTAAGTAATAAGTACCTCAAGATGCACATCATGAGATGAAAATAAAGTTACCCATTAATTACTTAAACACAAATATTAAATTAAAATTCAATTGGGATTAACCCTATCACCTAGTCACAGCACCATTATTAAAATACGTGGTATTCAGATATAGATTTTAGGTAAATCAACTATAACATACAAGTTGAATTTATAAGACGTCTTATTCATTTGTAGTATAATAATTGAATATTATACGTTTATAAATATATATTCGACGTAACAGGTTAATGACGAAAATACTTGCGGGTGACCTACTGGCCGAAAGGCAACACTTTGTAATTTCTCATGGAATTGAATGCAAGGCGAAAATGTAGCAACGTCGTAATTCGCCAATCAACGATCGCAGTTTCGCTTCCCAAATCTGGGACGCGAGCACAATACATACTAGCACATTTACGTACTAGGTACGTCGTACGCAATGACAGATGCATGAACAATGACGACTCAGCGAAAGAGTTAGTTACAAATATCATTTGGGTTTTGGTGCCGTCAAAATGTCGAGAGTATCACAAGTGGGACGTATACAATACGCGAGATATGGCCGTCCTGCAAGACTTTCACGAGCTGTAGTTCGATTACCAAATACGCGTTAGAATCTGTGTCAGTTTCATCACCGCACTGCATCCGCTCACGGCAACCGTGCGTTCGCTTTGCGTGAAGGTGTATCACACACGGTATCAGCATTGCGGATGACCATCACATTACGAGTATTCTATAAATTAAAAAACACTTATACCGACAGGCTGTCTGATCTGTCAACGCAGAGACTGCACAGGTCAAAAGTTTGACATTTAGGGTATAGGTATATATCTTTTATAACCTTACGGAAGGATTCTCCGGATTCCTCAACAAAGACAGATTCAGAAATATACCGAGGGTTTGATTAGCCGAAATAGCTAGTCAGTATTACATCACTAAGGTCAGACCCCGAAAAAGACAAAGCTTAATAATGGATATTTTATGTCCTAATTATCGCTATAGGAATTTTAGTAATGGAACTTTAAACCATGCTTATATATGCATATAAATATGCTGTACTATAGTCCTATTAAAATAAATGTTAATAACGTCTTTATTTTGAATATTTAATTCAATTTTACTTAGCAGTTACAAATTAATAATAATAATTATAATATTTCAGGACAATTCACACGCCATCTAGTCCCAAGCTAAGCAGAGCTTGTGTTATGGGCACCAGACAACTGATATAAATACATGGATACGTTTTTTTTTTAAATAAATACATATTATACATAGAAAACAGCCAGACCGATACAAACAGTCATACTCATGTATACAAAATGTTTGTACCGTGCGAGGAATCGAACCCACGACCATCGGATAGTAAAGCGGTGTGCTAAACCACTAGACCACCGAGGCTGTCATTTTCATTTCTATACTTCTGTGTTGGTGTAAATTTAGCCACGATCACATTACATAATCTTCTTTTTAAAATTAATCAATTTTAAGTTGAGATGTTTAAGTGAAAAGTAATAAGTTATTGATTACTGTTCTTAAGTTATTCTATTATATTATAACAGACCTGACATCGACAAACTACTTTAAACTAAAATTCTTCTAGGTATTATAAAATTGGTGTATGTACTAATTCAGAACTTTCCTAATTTACATTTAAACACTGACATAAAAAGAATGTAAAAGCTTTTTAAAAACATTGAAAAGAAAGAAATGACTTTGAAAAGAATGAAAATTAAACATACGAATGAAATTATGTCAAACATAAAGTGTCACAACAGTAAATAAAAGTAGGCTAAGTGAATTAATCGGTGCGACCCAGAAACTGCCAGCGCCGATGGAGAGCCGAGTCTTGCACTGATGGGGCAGAAACCAAATAAACATAAAAGGAAAATAGGTTTTATCAATAACCTAGAATACTTTCAACATAAAGTTTTGTTATATGGGCATATAAAAACTGCATTTACTTATTGCTTACTTTAAATTACTTTAGTGTTCTTAAGAAGGAAACTGAAAAAGATAAACATTATCATTTTAATGCATATCACAAATTATATTGGTTATGATAAGAAATAGGCTGCTTGTGAATTAGACGGAATGATTAATTGCTTTTATACATAATGGAAAACTTTGTACAGTTAAAGCATCTTTTTGTTACAGCTCTGTAGATATGTTATCGTACGCGCAATGAGTCGTCCGAGGTCGATCAACAATTTGCCACTGTGGCAAATGGAGCGGCCCGACCTACATTTGGTCTCAGTAAACCGCTCCTATGACGATTAACAATAGATGATTCATCACATCACGCATGATACTTTTAGCATGCGAAAGCGGGTCACAATCATATTAATCAGAAATCCCAATGACAAGTTTCAGTAAGGGAGATAAGAATTTCATGGTAATTTAACACTGTGCCAAAATATTAATATGCGATCTGCAACCTTTTTTCGCGATACTGAATCCCATTCAAATCAAATGTACAATAGACCATAGAATTTAAAGTAGACATAGCATAATTATTCAATAATGCACAAACTAAAATTTTACTGAAATTTTAATAAAAACCCTATATCTAAATAACTATAATATATTTTATTGGAAATTAACCTATGCATCAAATAATTCTGCAGTTTAATGGTAAGCGATAGTCGTAATGATAGAGGCAGTATCTATCCATTGACGTCGTTGAAGAAATAGTTTTATTTAAACATTATTAAATTTTAACAAGACCACTCACGGTATACGGCTTATTATAATTCGAATAAAGTTCTAGTTATTTGTAAACGAAGTGACTATTAAAATTAAGATAGTCATTATGTGCAATGGTTCTTTTTCTATTTTCCAAGTAAGAATTTGTATTATAATTTGTGTATTTGAAATTATTCATTTACAATCTTGTATTTGGAGTACAAAAACAATACTAAGTTTCTGTGCACTGAAAACAGACTTCACGTCATGATGCAACTGACTTTGTGCCATTCTTTGTAATGAAATATGTATACTAATTGAGAGGGCAATAATTATACGCCCTGTATACGGAAGGTAGTCTGGAAACCACTGATTATTAGAATAAATGTTTCAGCATTTGAATAAGGTAAATAATTTCAAATGAACATATACCATATTTAATATTTTCCGAATGAAGCAAGTACTTCATATTTAGCTTGAGAGAATTTTTCCATGTAAAACAGGTGATGTTAGATAAACATGTTATAATCGAGATGAAATCATGATAAAATGTATAGATTCATTCTATATTCATTGAAGTGCACAGTATAATATAGTATATTATAATATATATAAAATATAGAGTTGTAGACCCAGATTACTTGAGTATATTACTTATAAAAATATATTAATTACTGTTGAATTTAGATAATTAAACTTAATCTAAACAAGTGAGTTGTGGTGCTGGAAATGTCAATAACCCGTAAAAGCTTGAGCAATATTCACGTTGAGTACATATCATTGGTCTCCCGTGGTCTTATTATAGATGTCATCCGACCTGCTGGCATCCTCTTCTATATTTAAAGTTCACTCTCGGCGTGTTGTTTCACTGCATCGTTGGAATCGGAATATTAATCTTAATTTATATATGTGGTTATACCTTTCTTTTTTAGCAAATCACTGTACCTTAGCACATTTGTTATCTATTGAAGATAAACAGCCCGTACGGGTGATAACAAATGTAAACTACGTAGCGAGGTTTGTACTGAATGAATTTTAATCTATTTGATCAACTTTAATAAACGTGAGAAAACTGGCAAGCAAAGCTCGAGGGCAACGTACAACAAGTAATCTTAATACTAACTTTTATAGTAAATTTACTACCTAACATAACTTTTTGCACTACAGGCAACATTTTGATGGGTAGGGTGTGGTACTGGATAAGGTATGGTATTTAGCTAATGCTTACAGCATTGAAGACATAACACACCTTCCTGAACCGCACCGCAAGCATCGAGATGTTACTGTTATTATATACCTTAACCTTAACCTAACCTAACATCAGTTCAAAAGGAAGAGATATAATAATTAGTGACTACGTGTGGTGTGGTGATTTCTATGTGTGTATTATCAAGATAGAGTATGTAAGGTAGAGTCTAAATGTAAATGTCCTTTATAGTGCCAACTTCGTCCGGCGCGATTGTCTTAATGCTAAACTACTAATATTTTTGAATTATAATTAGCGTTCATTGTACATCGAATGTAT